AGTGCTGCCTCGTCTAATTTTATGTCTACTTCGGAGCTCTGATTTTTTCTTATCATTCCTTGATCTTCTCTTAAATGAATAGTTAAGGGTTTAGTGATAGATGCAAAATTCCTAATAAATTTTCTATAATAACTAGCTAATCCTAAAAATGACCTTAGTTCTTTAAGCGTTTTTGGAACTGGGAAATTTTTTATTGTTTCAATCTTGTTTGATCCATAGTAATCCTGTTATGCTTATTGATGTGGCCAAGATACTCCACTGAGTCTTGAAAAAAATGTGACTTTTCGTCGGAAATTTTCATATTGGCTTTATGTAGTGCATTTATTATAGTTGAAACGTGTTCAATATGTTCTTTGGGTGAGGAAGAGAATATTAATACATCGTCTATGTATACATATGCAAATTTACCAATATATTCTCGTAAGATATCGTCTAAATCACCGTTGAAAGTTTGAAGGTGCGTTTTTCAACCCAAACGGATATCGGATTCCTTTATTAAAATTTGATGGAATCCTGATTCTAAATCTATAGCTGAAAATACTTTTGCTTTTCCTAAATTTTGGATAGTCATATTTACATCAGATATTGGATATCTATCTGTGATTGTCTGAGCATTAATTTTTTGGAAATCAACTACCATTCTCCTTTTTGGCTTACCTTGTTCGTCAGTGACTTTTTTTGGAACAGTCCATATGGGTGAATTATATGGGCTTTTACTTGGTTTAATAATTCCATTTTGTAATAACTCGCTAATTTCTTTAGTCACAAAGTCGTTATCCGCAATGGGATATGGATATTGTTTTGTCCATATTAGTTCCTCTGTCTGGGTCCTAATTGTCGCCTGAATAGTTGTAGTGAAAGGAATATTTTCACTTATTTGAACGTTTTTTATCATTAGTTTTCTAATGTCTTCTTCGTATTGAGGGTTATTGATAGTAAAATTAATTTTTTGTTCTACGTTATGGGTCACTTCCTTCTGGTACTTTAAACTATAATCAAATAAATTCAGTTCTGCTTTAAGAGTTCTAAGTCCCTGTTCTCCTAATATCATATCGAATTCATTTAGCTTATCTATTTCATAATATACTAAATCATATCCATATGTCCCAATCACTTTTTTTGAATTAATGACTGAAAAGCCATGTAAAGTTTTTGTTTTAAAAGGAATAATTTGTATTGACTTACCGATTTTACATTTGTCGAAACCATTTAATAATTATATTAAGTTGAATGTGTTAATCCACATTTTGTTTTGATACAAGGCAACCCGTTTTTTTGCCTAAAAAAGTACTCCGTGTCTCAAAATGTTCATCGTAGTCTGCTTGTGCGGTTTGATTGATGCGTTGCATGTTTTGTTGATGGAAGTTTTGTGACGAGACGTTCCTATCTCTTTTGAATGAATTTTGTTGGTGAGGTGGATTCCTTGGTTGATTGAAGTAATAAGTTGGCCTCTGATACTGCTGCGAACTGTCCACTTCCATTAGTTCTGGTGCAAGTTGTTGTTGCGGTTGATATTTCCTCTGTACTCTGACGTTTGGTCTGTATTGATGATGTTGTCTGTCCTCTCTATGTGAATAAACTTGGCCTTCGCTGAAGCGAGGATTATATTTCCTTTTATCATCAGGTTGATGGAATCGTTGTTGCTCGTTCCTCCTTGGCAGGTTAGAATGTATCTCGAATTGGCGATTCACATTGTCGTGGTAAATAGTACTAGCTACTGCGTAAGCTGTTTCCAAATCTTTAGGGTTATAACTATACAATGACCCACTTATATATTTGCTATTTAACCATAGGATGAAGGTCCTTACTTAGCAGGAAGCCCTGGTTTGCATAGTCTTTCATAGAACCACTGTTTTGGTTTTCGGACATCTTAATTCTTGATAATGAATTCGGCTAAGGTTTTCCTTCCTTGTACGATCTTTTTCATTTCCTCTAAAAGGACGTATAGTGGCCTTTGGCCCGCAAACGTGTAATCCAATCTATTTATTATGGAATAAAAATTCATCTTCGTGTTGTGCTTTGTAAGAATATCTGCTGCTGCTCCTGTTATTTTTGTGCGTACTATACCAAGTGCACTGTAGTATCTAGGGTGGTTGGTGAATCCTTTTATACCATCCATAAAGGTCCATACTTGCGATCTCCAGCATCTATATTGATCTTTGTTTCCATCGAACCGTGGAAGTGCTTTGAATAATTCCAGGTCAATTTCCATGGGGTCGTTTATGTGCAAGCGTATTGCTTCGTGTTCATAGATAAAATGATCCGAAACTCCTCTCTTTGCCTTTCGAGAGAGCTCATGAACTTTCAGTGCTGCCAAAAAAAACCACGAGTTCACGAGCTACTGAACAGATGACAACCAAAACAATGAACTACTACTAAGAATCCCGCAGAAATAAATTGCGAAATCAGTGGGTAATTTGTGAGATCAGATTTTTTGTTAACTTTTACGTATATTTGTAATCTTTATTTAAAGAGTTTTAATATAGTTTTGCTTTTAAGAAAGAGCGGGTATTTTCTCGCAAAGTATTGTTTTGCTTAGCAGTACCAATTGTCAACGTATTATTACTTATTTTGGTTAGAATTCCCAGCAAATGTTATGTAAACTTTGACTTCCGAATAAATTATCAAAAGATATTTGTTTATTGAGTATATAAAAAGGAAATAAGAATCATGTTAAGCTTATTTAAAACTTGTAAGTGTGAAATATTAAAATATTTTGTTAAATTTAATTTAAAAAGTAAATTTTGAAAATCTTTTGTGATCAAAATATACACGTACATATATTTAGACATCATATAGGATATCTAGCTTGTTAAACTAATTTTATTTATGTATATTTTACTGTAAAATGGAAACCGAAAAATACCCAAGAAATACATTAAAAAATCTCAAAACGTATTTTTTTCACTAGTGGCACCATTGTCAAATGTTATAAAAAATGTGGACTTTTACAGCGCTCTCTCGATTCAAAGAGTTTCGGATCATATTATCCATGTTCGTGTTGATCTACCATCGATACTCCTTTAAACGATTGGCTTGATTCAATCGATGATAGTCGATTTTGCATCTCAATGCTTTGCTGCTGCAAAGTTTGAGTTAGTACGTCGATGTGTGCGCGTAGTTGTGCCATTTCTGATGTCATCGTAACTGATTCTGATTTTCTACAACTGCAGTGGATTTTTGCCCTTTTTCCCTTCCGGAAGTTCTTGAGGTGCTCCAGTTTTAAATGGTTCCTCAGAATTCTGTTTTTGTTCCAATTTTTCAGGAACCTGATATGTCTTTCTTTAAGACCGTGCATTTTGGTTTTTTAAGTATTATATTTCAAAGACTGGCTGGAAAGCAAGTTGATTTGCTATCCCGGTTGAGCCCCCAGTTAAAAATTAATAATATTGGGTTTATTATTTTTATTTATTTATTGAGTTCAATATATCCACCTTTACGTTTGATGGCAATACTAAGACTAAAATACATTAGGTTTGCTTACAACTATTTGTACTATCGACAGAACATTCATGTTGTTCTGTTGTGTTCTTATTTTAAGCTGATAAATATATTTGGATAAGTTCTTATCTGTTATTGATAATTACAATACAATATTATGTGTATATGTCATGAGACATGTTTTTATGTTTACAGCTGATAAGGATTTGTTGATGTATTTAGGTTCGTGAGTTTGGGATGTAGAGCAGGTTCGCCTCCACGCGGTGCATCCTGGGTAACGCTAAATGACCTGCGGCCTTCACGGCCTTTATAACTCCTACGGATTTGACCTTTGCTCGACACGGACTTAGCTTGGACTATTAGATGGATCGGTTTGAACCCTGGGCTGGTGGTCGTGGTATTCTGTCACCTGAGTATGTAGGGGTGACACCCTGCAGAAATGGCTGATGGGCTAATACCAAGGCCGCCTCCGTCCCGTTAAAACCATGGCAGGCCTCAGAGTACGTTCCCCTCCTGTCATCATTAAGTTGGTGTGGTAGGTGTTTGTTGAGATGACTCCTTCTTTGCGCAGGTCGGCTCTGAACGCACTGCCTCATAAGGGCGTGCGTCAACCCTCGCCTTGGCCTCGTAACCGAGAAAACCTTGGGACCATTTAAAGGCGACTACCTTTCCAGGAGACGGATAGCGACTCTGAGTGGGGACCCAATTACAATGAATACAAAACAACAACAACAAAACTTAAACAAGGACGAGGGAGGAAGCGGGTCGAAATCGACCTCTTCAAAAGTGGTCAGTTCCCTTGGGGGGCATCCCCACCGATGGGGACGAAACCGTCTCCGCCGAAGGGTGAGAAGAACGGGGGTGACCGGCTTACCATCGCTAGGGGCGGTAACGTGGGGGGAGTGGGCAGGAATCTGCCGACGGACACCTTAGGCAGGGCAGAAGTGCGCGGCGGAATCGCCAGCACTAGCAGAGGAACCTCTGTTAAGTACATGGGGGGCGCGGGGCCCTCAGTGAAAGCTAAGGGCTCCGGGGGGAAACGCCAGACTACAGCTAAAAAGCTGAAGTCGGACCGTCGGCTGACTACCAAGATTTTGGAGCGCTACGGTGGCAAGCAGGCTGACCAGGAAACTGATCAGCATGCTAGCACACTGGAGTGGGCCAAAAGGGTGCTAAGCGACGTCAATGTCGGGAAAGGGGTTCCGAGCGTACTCCCCGCGTCGATGAAGCGACAGAGGTCGCAGGAGGGGGAATCCTCCCTCGGTAAGAAGCCTCGAGTCGGAGCGGCACCGATGTTTAGCGAAATCGCTAAACTCGCCAGCTCAATTGAGCTCGGGGTATACGACAGCAGCAGGGGAGATGGAGCCATCTCCCATGAAGAGTGGAAGCGGGTAGCGGCTGCTATCTCCGCAGTGTTCATGAAGGTGGTCAGGGGTAGCCCTGGACCACCCCCTAGATGTGAAAGTGCCGGGTGGAATCTCGGCTTACACAAACTTGTAAGGTGTGCCGACGAACGGTCGGCATTCCTTTATAAGGAGGCGGTAGCCAGGGTGGGGGAAGTATGGAAGGGAGCAAGGCTCGAGGCGGTGGCCAAATCGGATCTTCCGATGCGACCTCGTGCTCGTGTCTGGCTTCCGACCGAACCCTCCACCCCGACCGAAATTGAAGAGATATTGCGGTACTGCAATCCATCTTTTCCCACCCAGGACTGGAAGGTGGTTAGGCTGGAGAGGACCGAGGAACCATATCGGCAAGCGCTGATACTCCTAAATAAGGAGTCCCTCGCTCCTCTCAGCAGTGCAAAGGGGGCCATAAGCTATGGCTTCGAGAGGGTCGTCCTCAGGATTCTCCCAAATGAAGCCAGGGCTGATGGCGAGTCACCACCAGCTGAGGTGCAAGAGAGTGGGAGAGCGACCCACTCTAAAATGGATATCGACCCCATCCTCTCGGATACGGTGAGCACGGGGGGCGGATCGTCAGTCGATGATGGATCCGTTTTCAGTCTCGACCGTCTGTTTGAGGCTGCTGGGGTCGATAGTACGGATGAAGGTGCGGATCTCGCACTGCTGGAGAGGAGTTTGGAGGATGAGGATCCTCCAAATTAACCTCCAGCACTCGAAGGTGGCCTCCGCCGATCTAGTGCTTCGTCTAGGACGGGACGAAGCCGACGTTGTCCTTATCCAGGAACCGTGGCTGAGCAGCAACGGTATCTCTGGTCTAAGGACAAAGAGCCACAAGCTCCTGGCCGCAAACAGTACAGGTAGAACCAGAGCCTGCTTGTTAATCAGAAACGAGCTTAACGTTTTTCTTTTACATAAGTTCAGCAACGAGGACGTCGTCGCTGCTAGACTGGAGGACAGCGCTGGAGAACTCTGGCTGTTCTCAGCCTACATGACGCACGACGACGAGGTGGAGCCACCTCCGAACCTGCTGAGAGGAGCCCTGGCAGAGGCCAGGCGCAAAGGAGCCGGTGTCTTAATAGGCTCGGATGCAAATTCAAGGCACACCGTCTGGGGGAGCTCGGACATTAACACAAGATGTGAGTCACTCTTTGATTTTATTTGTAGAGCAGATCTTTCTATTTGTAATAGGGGGAACAGCCCTACTTTTGTTACTGCTAGCAGGGCGGAAGTCCTTGACATTATGCTAGCCTCTAGAGAAATCGCTCCCTTGATTTCGGAATGGAGGGTTCTAGACGACCATTCATTCTCGGATCATAGATATATTGGTTTCAGCTTGAAAGCCTCATGCCCGGAACTCAAAACCTATAGAAATTTTAGGAATACCAACTGGGTCCGGTACTGCAGGATCAGCTCTGCCACCCGCACCCGACAGGGATTCGATCCTATCGGCGGATGCGGTTGATGAGCTCGTCGAGATTTTCAGCTCTGTTAGTAGAACAACTCTTGACAGCTCCTGTCCTCTGAGAACTCAGAAAATCAAAGGGAAACCCCTTGGTGGACTTCGGAGCTAACGGAGATCAGATCTTCGAGCAGAAGACTGTTCAACAAAGCCCGTAGAAGCGGCTCTGGCGACGACTGGGCGTTGTACAAGGCCGGACTGGCCATCTACAAGTCCGAGTTGAAGAAAGCCAAGAGAGTTTCTTGGAGAGCCTTCTGCGGTAGTGTAGAGGGCTGTCATGAGTCCTCACGATTTAGGCGCATTCTTGCAAAAAACCCTACTCCAGTGGGGTATCTAAAAAATGCAGATAGTAATTGGACAACGAGTAGCGAGGAGTCGTTGAAACTACTCCTGGATGCTCATTTTCCACTAAATCACTCTGCTGAAGAAGTATCACTGGGGGAGCTGCAGGAGGGCTGTACAGCCTTCTTGGACCTTCTGGACGATCGTCACCTTACTTGGGCGCGGAAATCCTTCAAGCCCTTTAAGTCCCCGGGGCCCGATGGCATTATTCCTGCGCAATTGCAGCGCACGATCAAGATGTCATTGAGCTGGCTGGCCCCTATCTACGCGAACTGCGTCAGATTAGGCCATGTCCAAAGGTCTGGAGACAGGTTAAGGTTGCTTTCATTCCGAAGGCCGGCAAAAGCTCTCACGTCTGTGCGAAAGATTTCAGACCCATCAGCCTATCCTCGTTTTTGTTGAAAACACTGGAGAGGCTTATGGATCTGTACATTAGGAGCAGAATACCGAGGGGTAAACTGTTACGGGCGCAGCATGCATATATCAAGGGCAAGTCAGTCGACACTGCTTTGCATGATGTAGTGTCATGGCTGGAGATAGCTCTCAAGCACAAGGAATTTGCTGTGGGCACCTTCCTCGACATCGAGGGGGCCTTCAACAATGTGCGACCAGAGGCAGTGGTTAAAGCCCTCGAAAAGTTTGAGGTGGAATCTAACCTCAAGCACCTTATTTTTAGTCTTCTTTGCGACAGAACTGTCGCAGCGGAGTGGGGTGGTGCCAAGGCCACCAGAAAAGTGAATAGGGGAACTCCGCAGGGGGGAGTACTCTCCCCACTGCTCTGGATAATGGTGGTTAACGACCTACTTATAGAACTCGAGACGCAAGGCTGTCGGGTGACAGCATACGCTGACGATGTGGTTCTTATGGTTAAGGGAAAGTTCCTGAATACCGTTTACGAGCTCACCGAAGGGTACCTGAACGTGGTATCTAGGTGGGCGAATAGAAGCGGCCTAGCCGTCAACCCAAGTAAAACCGAATTGGTTGTATTTACCAGGAGGTATAAGATACCAAATGTGCCTCTCCCTTCCTTCGGGGGTTCACTTCTTCAGCATGCTGAGAAAGTGAAATACGTAGGGCTCATCCTCGATAGCAAACTTTCCTGGAGGCAAAATATAGAGGAGAGAGTTAAGAAGGCTTCGGTCGCCTTATACTGCTGCAAAGGGGCTATTGGGAAAAGGTGGGGACTCTCACCTAAGGTGGTGTTCTGGCTCTACGAAACCGTAGTTAAGCCAATAATGTTCTATGGTGTGTTCGTCTGGTGGAGGGCGCTCGAGAGGACCACACTGGCTAAAAAGCTTGAAAGGGTCCAAAGAGCGGCGCTCATCGGAATCTCCGGTGCACTGCGGACCACACCGACACTAGCTCTTAATGCTATTTTAAACATAGCACCTGTGGACATTGCCGGTAGGTGCATTGCCGCGAAGTGTGCTCTAAGGCTCAGGGAAGCTGGGCTTTTGAAGAGGTCCGAACAAGGGCACTCCGAAATTCTTTCCTCCTTCAGCGGCATCCCGGAAAATATAGATCACTGCGTCACTGTAGCCACTCGAGGCGGTTCCTTCTCCGCTCATATCCCAACCAGGGACATGTGGGTGGGAAGAAGCCGTAGGAGAAGAGGCGCGGTGAGCTTTTTCACGGATGGATCGAGGCTAGGAGGGAAGGTTGGAGGGGGGGTTTTTCTGTAACGAGCTCTCCGTCGGTCTTAGCTTCAGGCTACCGGATCACTGTAGTGTTTTTCAGGCGGAAGTGGCTGCTATTAAGGCGGCGGTAGAAGTACTGCTGCATAGTGCAGCCTTGTTTGTAGAAGTGAGCATTCACTCTGATAGTAGGGCAGCAATACTAGCTTTGAGCGCGCGTACCGTGCAATCAAAGCTACTCAAGGAGTATCTGTCCTCTTTAGAGGTAGCGTCTGGCTATTTCAACATCAGGCTCGTTTGGGTACCTGGTCACAGCGGAATCGCTGGAAACTGCAAAGCCGATGAGCAAGCCAGGGGGGGGCACCTTTGCCCCGCTCTCATCGGAATGGGATCGGGTTGGATCTCCGTTAGCGTCCTGCGCTCTAACTTTGGATCAATGGACCTCGCGTGCACTCAGCAGACGTTGTTCGACGACTAGGTCCTGTGCGACCGCGAAATCCTTCTGGCCAAGAGTGGATCGCAGGAGGTCGGGGGAACTTCTCGCCCTGAGCAAAGTGCATCTAGCCGCTATTGTAGGAGTTCTCACTGGACACTGTCCAATGGGCACTCATGCGGTACGGCTTGGTGTACTACCCGATGCCAGTTGCCAAAGTTGTATGGAGGAGGGCGAGGTGGAATCATCCCAGCACTTTCTCCTCCAATGTCCGGCATTCGCTAGGCTGCGATTGAAATATCTCGGCAATCACACGTTTGGCGGTCCTGAATACCTATCCGTAATGGATATTGGCCGTCTTAACAAGTTTGTAGTCAGCACAAGACGTCTTGTCGACTTGTAAGGGTCTTTTGATCCGGACTATAGGAGCCGTAGGTATCACAACGGACTGGCGTCTTAAGCTGTCCAAGTGGGATCCCTTCTGGGATCGACCTCCTAACCTAACCTAACCTAGGTTCGTGAGTATGATAAGAAATGTTATTACTCGTGCGTATGCCTTTGGAGAAGCATCAGTGCAGCGAGTGGCACGAGTTCTTTGCGATCCCGGATCACAGGTTAGCTTTGTGCCGGATCGTCTAGTAAACTGTTTGCAGCTGTATCGGCGAAAATGTGATGTGAGGATAAAAGGTGCAGGTGCTACCATCAATACTCGAGTGAAATGCAGCGTTACGTTCACTCTTAGATCAGCAACAACTAACTGCGAAATGCGAATTGATGCCTTGGTTTTATCGTCCATTACTTCTCCGACTCCAGCAGTGAGTATTGACATGAACCAATGGCCATATTTGAGAGTCATAGATTTGGCGGACAACCGGTGAAGTCATCGGTGGTGGACCAGACGAACCTTTCGCCCAGCGTACCCGCTTAGGATGGGTGGTGTTTGATCCAGCAGCAGTGACCCTTCCTGCAAAGGAATCATTGCTCACACTCACCACTTCGCTAGACAGGGAGGACCACCGGTTGGAGGAACTGGTGTCCAACTTTTGGCAAATGAAGGAAATCGCAGTGGTTGACTTTCTGCCAGAGAATGAATGTGGGCAGATTTTCGAGACCACTCATAGCCGTACCTTAGACGGCTGTTATATCGTACACTTACCTTTGCGACGAAAGGCAACGGAATTAGGCGACTATTACGCACTGGCATTACGGAAATTCTATAAACTAGAGCGTCGCATGGTTGCGGATCCACTCCTTAAGGAAAACTACATTTCATTTATGAGCGAGTATGCAGCACTCGGACATATGGAACTAGTACAACCACCTTACGGTCATATTAATTGCTACTACATCCCTCATCATGCGGTCACAACGAAGTTCCGCGTGGTGTTCAACGTTTCGGCACCTACCAGTACTGGAATCTCACTGAACAATGTTCAACTGGTAGGTCCAAGATCTCAGGATTCGCCGAGTAGTATACTTTTACGTTTTCGTCGGTATCGAGTGGCGATAACTGCGGACATAGAGAAGATGTTCAGGCAAGTGTTGGTTGCATCTGAACATCGCGACTATCAACGAATTATATGGCGAGAGCCTCCTGAAGACGAGATCCGGGTGTATCGCATATAGACCATCACATATGGCTTGGGATGCAGTCCTTACAATGCAGTATGAACCCTACAACAATGTGCTTATGATAACTCCGCTGTGGTTCCCGAAATACAACAAGCGACTCGTGCTCGAACTGCGATATTAACCTCGTTTTATGTTGATGACTTCTTACCAAGTTGCGTTACCGAAGCAGTGGAGCTGGCTAAGAACGTGGATGCCATCTTATTTGCGGGACAGTTCACCCTAAGGAAATGGAACTCGAACGATAGTCAGGTGATGATGCGTTTATCTAATGAGCCGTTTTTTTTAGTTATATTTTCAATTCTAATAAAACTTCCGTTTTGGGCTTAAGATAGAACGCACTGAAAGATCAGTTACGCTTTCGCGTCGATCTATGCCAAAGAGTAGAAATTTCAACGAAGCGCCGTGTACTCAGCGAGGTGGCACGACTTTTCGATCCTACTGGATTATTATCGCCTGTTATCGTAACTGTTATCGTAAAAATATTCATTCAGCGACTGTGGTCTAAACTATCGGTCACAGCTTCCGGAACTCAATCAAATTCGCATCGAAAGGTTGATAGGAATGATGCCACGTATTCAGACATAATTTCACGGTCACATGCTTATGCCGCAGTTATTTATGCGAAGACGTCAATCACAAACGGTTCGGTGCGTTTCACACTTCTGACGGCACGCACCAATGTGGCACCACTTAAAACTGCTACTATTCTACACCTAGAACTTGCAGCAGCGCTCCTTTTAGCCAAGACATTCCAGAACGTGCGAGATTCTTTGCCATTAGTTGACGTTCCCTACTATCTGTGGTCGGACTCAGCGATCGTATTGTGTTGGCTGAGGAAGGTACCAGCAACACTTAAACCATTCATATCAAATCGGGTTCGTAGAATACAGGAGCTGACATCCCCCATCCGATAAGATGAAATTCTACAATTGAAGTCGAGTTCAGGTTTGACATCTTCCAGTCGGATAATACCTTTAAATCCATTTACAGACGAGAACCGAACGGGAACGGGAACGGGACGCATCCACGAGGCCTACTTAGGCCATGATCAACGATTCCTGATTATTCCGCCTAAATCAACGCCATTGGTCAAGCTTTTACTAACTCAGGCGCATGAGGTTATACTGCATAGAGGAACGCAACTCATGCTGCATACTCTTCGTCAACGCTTCTGGATTCTGAGTGCCAGGCAAGCAGTAAAGAGTTTCATCCATAACTGCGTTGTATGCCGCTGTCATAGAGGGGAAGTCCTGAAGCAACAAATGGCTTCCTTACCCGGGCAGAGGATCAGAGCAGCAAGGCCGTTCATATCATCTGGAGTCGGTTACTGTGGGCCTTTTACACTACGTACCGGAACGAAATGCTCTCGAACGCTCATCATGACGTATCTCGCAATATTCGTATGCAGGGTCACCAAGGCTGTACACATTGAGGTAGTTGATGACCTATCAGCATAGGCCTTTTTAAATGCTTTCACTCGTTTCGTCAGCAAACGCAGTCCCTGTCGGGATTTATATAGTGATAATAGTGCAACCTTTGTTAGTGCCAACCGACTCTTGAAAGAAGATGTCGCAGCATGGCCGGGTTAAAATAATCAGCGATCGTTAGCAGATTCGGGAACACATTGGCATTTAATTACACCCAGTGCGCCACATCAAGGACAGAGGCTGCTGTGAAGTCCTCTAAACATTATTTGACACGCTGTGTGGGTACGAATTTCATGTGGTATAATCAGTTGCAGACACTGGCTGTAAGAATAGAGGCCTGTCCCAATTCCAGTCCTATTACACCACTCTATGACGATCCTGAAGAGATCCATTTCTAGCGGTCCCTGAACTAGATATCAAACATATTTCTAGCAACCGGCTTAAACAATGGCAATGGATACGTCGAATTCAACAAGGATTCTGGAAGCTGATGGAGTGGTCCGCAATGTCACGTTGAGCTAGAGAATACATGAAACGAGCCATGCAGAAATTATGTCTATTGATAGAGAAGGAGGATTTCGAGTCAACCGACTCGACCGGGCAGGATGTTTAGGATTATTTACATTAGTTTAAGTTTATTTTCTAATAATGTCAAGTTTGATCTGGCAATACTGTCTTATCTAAGTTTTATATTTGTCATCTCTCGTTTAACATTCATTCTCTTACAATTATCTTTGTTTCTATATATTGAAGGTTATGGTATTTTAAATTCCGTTGAACTCCTATAAATGTCCGAGAAGATGTGTGTACGAACTCTTCACTGATTGTAACTCGGTGCTGATTGTACTCAGCTCTGGTTTGGTGTCAAGCAAGCCGTTCATAATCGTACAAATCCCAATAAAGCATTGAGAACTCTACCCGCAGGTAAATTAATTATTTAAAAATATCTATATATATAAAAGAAAGTCGTGTTAGTTACACTATTTATAACTCCAGAACGGCTGAACCGATTTGGCTAAAAATTGGTGGGAGGTAGCTTAGAATTATTTCTTTATGTTTAAAGTTAATATAATATGTATTGTACTGCAAGCCTACAGAAATTTTTGTATTCACATATGGATTATACTGATTGTTGCTACTGCACAAGGCGGTTTTTTTCTTGGGCGCACCATGTGGAACCGGTAAGACATTTTTAATATCATAACAGAAAACTTCAATGCATTGGCAAATAATAAGAAAAATAAGAATGAAACATTTTACTACGAGGCATATAATTAGGAATTAAAAAAGAAATTGTTATGAAACTAACATTCTTCGCGTCTTTCAAATTAAAAAAATAAAATTTTTATTTCCAAAGGTTTTGGATCTCCAGGCGATCTGATATATTGTATTTTAAATCAATCGCTACTAATGTTGATGAAAACGAAATCGTAAATTTTCAAATGAAAAATGCTCTAGATATTCCCAAAATGACATTACATATTCTTCGGTTGAAAATTGGATGTTTTTAGATTGTACATTTTAATAGAGAAGAAGTAAGGAAGGGCTAAGTTCGGGCGTAACCGAAAACTTTATACTCTTGCAACTAGCAAGAATGAAATGTCTTCAGGAGCGGGCAAAACTTCATATTAACAAATGTTGCGAAAAAATTTAGCATTTATTATTCGTAGAAGTCATTATCATTAACATAGATCTAATTTTATTGCTATGTTACAGTAGCTTCAGTAAAATTATATTATAAACTTCTTCAAATGAGATATTGTATGTGATATTAACTCAATCAAAGAGGCTAAATTAAATATACATACCTATATTGAGTTAATCTGGAAAACGTCAACCAGAGGATCGGAATTCATTATATCAGCGATATGAGGTTAGGATCTAGGTCTAGTCTTCTTCAAATGAGATATTGTATGTGATATTAACTCAACCAAAGAGGCTAAATTAAATATACATACCTATATTGAGTTAATCTGGAAAACGTCAACCAGAGGATCGGAATTCATTATATCAGCGATATGAGGTTAGGATCAAGGTTTAGACTAATTCCATTCTAATTCAGCGCTGAACCACATAAGTTTAAAAAAAAACTTGTCTATTTAATTTCATTAAAATATTACATTTTGACCAACCTGAATGGTTTAAAGGCAGGTGCAATGACGGAAATCATTATATGGGGTATATTAGAGGCAGAAAAACGGACAGGCTTGCATTATTTTGGACATTGGTCAGGTATGTCTGAGAACATATTTTCAAGCAATTGTTTAAATATATATTACTTACGCACTGAACAAAAATTATTATATGTAGTGTATGGGAGTTGGGGGTAGTATTAACCCCGATTTTATCTATTTTTGCCAATATCACATACTATTAACATTCCTTGGCACCCAAGGATGCTTGGTATTGCTATATATGTATACCAAGATAGTTGGAATCGGACCATTGCCACGCACACAAATCGCCCTTAATCGACAACCTAAAAAGTGCCATAACTAATCTCCACAATAAGATACAAGGCTGTTATTTGGTACAAAGCATTGTAGTAGAGAGAAGCATCTGTGGCTAAAAGTTTTTTTTTTAAGTGGGTGTGACCTCGTTTTTTTATAAGTATAATGTTTAAACCATAAATCTTTTTCTGTTAATAATACCATATTTATTAAATTGCTTGGAAATATGTTCTAAAGTAGAGCTGTGTAATGTCAAAAGTTTGTGCAATCAGCGCAGACCTTTTCTGTCTCCACTATACCCTATATAGTGAGTCCCACCTATCTTTAAACCGCTTTAAACCGTTTAGGTTGGTAAAAATATGTGATATTTTAGTAAAATTATGTGGCCAGGCTGTCTTAAAAATTATGTGGTTTACGAACGAAACCAACGACCTCATATCCCCAATGTAACGAATTCTGATCCTCTGGTTAACATTGATGAGGTGCAACATCTTAATATATTAAATTTATCCTCTTCGATTGAGTATATGTCAGATATGTATATCTTATTTTGGGATTATTTGAATATAATTTTCGCTGGCGGGAACCAAATTTAATTATAAAACTAATTTAGTCTATGAAATGTAATATAAGTTAATAAGATACAAATTTGATTGTAACCAATTCACAATTTCGTCGAACAATGAATGTTGAATTTTTTCCCAACATTTTTTACGGTTAAAGTCGAACTAAGCGTTTACATACTTGTTTGATCTTTTAGGAACCTTTTCATTTGAATAATATACTAAAATTAAAAATTAGTTGTCACTTAAAAACATTATGAAAATATATTTTCCAAATAATATTTAATTCGTTGCATCATTTTTTGTTGTAAACTAGTTTTTAAAAACCTCCCATGTCCATTGTTGTATTAATATAATGAAACTAACAATTATATTGTGTCTGAACGCTGCATTCATAAAAGTTAATAGTAAATAATTTAGTCTTTTAAAAATTTAACTTTAACCAACTTTTGAAACTGAAAACTATAGCGCGCAGGAGTTTCACCGCAAACGAACTACAATAATTAATCCAAATAACAATTCTAAATTTCTATGAACGTCATTACTTTCCATTT